CGGCAGAGCCGGCAGGAGGTGGTCAAGGCACTCATTGTTGCTCGTGGTTTTGTGATTATTTTTTTTCTCCCACTAAAAGAACCAACTCAGGAAGGTTTGCTGCAACCTGCCTCCGTGCCCTGGGCATCGGATTGGGGTGGTAGCAGGTTGTGGGCAAGCTGCTCGCACCAGGGCGGCACCACTTCCACCAAAACCCACCACAAAACTCCAGGGTTTAAGGCCTGTGGACAGAAAGGGTGAATTTCCCCAGCCCAGGGGATGCTCAGTGCCTGCTCCAGGTGACCCAAACCCTTGTGTTTCGTGATTGTGGAGAGAAACCTCAAAAAACAAAGAGAAGAAAACTCTGAAAAACAACCAAACCGAAGTGGAGAAACAGGTAAGAGGCTGCTAGAGAAAAGCTAGATACAAAAGGGTAAAAAAAAGCCCCTCTCGAGCCCCAGAAATACCTATGGGGATTGTTCTCAAATAACTATTGCAACCGAGCAGTGTGGGCAGGCCTTCCCCAGCCAGGCTCCAGCCCAGGGTGGTCTCAGCACCGTGGGCTTTGCCGTTGTGCCAGGCACCCGTCGCCCTCATGGACAGTGCAGGGGGAGGGTCCCTCTGCCAGGGACCTTGTCCATCACTGCCTTTTTCTTGAGCATGCCAGCACCTCCTAAAAAAACACCTGAACAACCCGCCTCACTGACCCAAAGACTGGTTTTGATGCCACCTCTGGGAGGTAGTTTCCTTCTGCACCTCCCCGTCCTGTGTCACTGGCAGCCTGTCCAGCCCAAAAAGCCCTGGGGACACCCCGAGGGCACCGGTTGTGCCTGGTATAAACCGAGCCACACCCTCACAAATGGAGCAAAGACTTTGGGATTTCAGCTTCTCACCAGAGCTGTGTTTATAGCAACACAAAACCAAAAGCACGGTTCCTTCACTCACTAAAGCTATCTCTAATCTGGTTTTCCCCAGCACAAAAATGAAGGGAAATCTCATCTCCTTCCCTCTGGTGGGGCCGGACCTGCTG